GTTTTTTTTACAGGGTAATTCCTCTTTAACATGTACATCTACTCTTGCAGTGCACAGTCCGCCTCTTTAAACTCAACACTACTGCTCTGTAACACGACACATAAGAAACAGACGCAGCCTCTCGTGTTTAGTCTCAAAACGCGAACGCAAGTGCTCATGGTATTTACGGTATGCAAGTCACCTGTCTGAAGTGCTAGCAATTAAAACTATGGTGCCAAGCCAGTCCATCTTGAGTAATGCGATGCAGTAATGCAACATAGGAGTTCATTGTCCTTCAATAGCAGTGTGCAGAGCTTCAACTGAGTATTATTCTATTTATTTATTAATTATTTAGTGTAGACAAGAAATGTGAAACAAAACGCATCAAAATGTCTTCAAATAACTTGTTTTGCTTGAGTAACAGTCTTAAAACAAAGGATTTTCTTTATGCAATGATAAAAAAAAGAGAAAAGCAGGAAATCCTCTCATTTAAAAGGCTGAAACCAGCAAATATTTGGCACTTTTTCCACAAAATAACTCATTTTCTGTCAATTGACTAATTCACTAATGCACCCATCATTTCAGCTCCAAGCATCTCAACTCTGTCCAACTGTTGAGTACCAGGATAAACATCATTATGCACATCTGTCACGTGGCGTAAATTAAAAATAGCCATCACTGGCACAACAGTCAGTTCCAGCTAAAATACCAAAAATAACTACGTCAACATTTGAACTTCCTTTAGTATACGACTGTATGTAGAGCCAGTGGGCTGCAACATTCCTCCACTGAGACCTAGCTGCAGTAACCTGCCCTCTTCTTGGCCTCGTGTCTGGAGGTCTGCACACACCACGCTGAGGGGGAAACGCCTGTGGGAGAATAGGCACCAATCCAGCTGGTACGTCCTGCTTTAGATGAGGATCGTCGGTACAGTACAGCGCATGACAATGCTCTCCTTATGCAATGCAAGCAGAGAAAAGGCTGACCAGATACAGTATTCAGCAGCTTTTTACCCTTAAAAAAAGGGTTGTCAGGAAGACTTATCAAAATGTATATTTTAAAAGCATATGAGGTTAGGCCAATGAAATCATTCACCAGAGGGACCAATACTGTTACATAACAGCCAGACATTGCTGCGAGCGCCCCACAGCACGGCTCCAAATGGTCTTTCTCTGAGGCTCCATACAGTACAAAGGCCTACTTTCTTATTAAAATCTGAGAAATTAACATTTGAGTCAGATACTGATCTCCAGGGCATTAGCTGCGAACAACAATGAATGTACGACTATTCCCTACCGCCTACAAGGTTAAAATGATGATTTGTAGCCTTAATTTGCTTTTAATACTATAAGGAAGTCCACTAATATGATAATAATGAGACCATTTTCCTTTTTAAAGCAGTGAGCCAGCTTAAATGATGTGTCAAGGTCCATAGCTGTTGCTCAGTCCCATGTATGCTGATGTGAATCCAGACGAGGTTACAGGACAACGTTGCTTTGAGTTTTCACAGTCTGGTCCTTTACCGTCATCACAACTGGATCCAAACGCTAGCATAACGCTCCTGCTTTATATTATCTGAGTCGAACACAACACCGGAGGCCTTTCCTCATGTGATTCACACAAGTAGCACACGACAGGAAATTGGACTTGGTTTGGGGTTAGGCGATGGGTGGAGCCTGCCAGGGTAGAGGACAGTTTTTGTGTTGATATCAATAGCCTACTGCTTCTACTTATGACATAAAAGCATGGAAAGTAATATACAGGCAAGCAGAAAAAGAGTACGAAGAAGCTTTGTTTTTGGTTTGTGTTTGTCACATTGTAAAAAAAGAACAAATATATATCATCTAGCGCTATGTGCGTTCGAATCAACGTTTTTACACTACACAGGGCTACGATGTGCTGCTGTCGATAGGGGCACCACAGAACTTGACAGTGCGTCCAGTACGTGGGATTTAAGTGCAGAATGCAACTAACTGAACACTGCTCGCGTCCATATTAGAATAAGAGGAACTATGGTGGCCACGAAACTAATGCAAACAATGCGAAAGGCTCTTTCTAGAGCCAGTGTTTGGTGTGTCCATTCTGGGCTACTGTAGAAACAGGGCTCCATCTAAGTTAACAAAAACACAACGATTCTTATTTTCAGGTGATTTTACACTAATAAAAACAACCCTATGAATAATTTATCTCATTCTACTGATAGATCCTCCTAAATGTTACACACTGGACCTTTAACTACTTCTGTAAAGTGAAATAATCAGTGTTCCCTTACACACAAAAATCAGTATTCGTCTTTCAGCGTGACGTTGAGTATGCAGTGGAGTTACATATGTCCCATTCCTTAGCAACATATTCCTAAATACTCTCTCACGTGGTCTCCAACGCCTCACACTAAAATCACTGTGCGAGGCAAAAAAAAAAAAAACGTTGGCGGCCACACGCAGGTCGTCACTGCCAGTAAAAACACACTGACACAGCTCAGAGACGCGGAGAGCTCAGACACAGAGCATGCAAATGAGGCAGCGTATTCCCAAAGAGGAAAGTGATGTCACTCGATAATAATGATGCTGTAAAACGAGACGCAGCCAGAGAGAGAGAGAGAAAGTCTGTCTGGCCAGCGGCTACAGTACAGTTCTGACTTCAGGAGTATGAACCGCTTTTAATCTATTCCAGCTTCCAGCTCTGAAAAAACACACACAGATTACATAACGGCAGACCTCCAATGTATTCCTGGGCCTCTGAAGTATCTGAGAAGTATGTGTGCAGTCGTTTGTGGCGAGGCAGTGAAGTTTGCCTGGAAAACACACACACACACACACACACACACACACACACACACACACACAGATCTCTAAGATACACTCTAACGTACACAACATTTACTGCAACACCGCTCCAGTGAGGAGTATCAGACAAGCGGAGAGCTGATGTAACCATAGAAAAGAAGAAAATTACCCTTTTCCCCAAATATCTATGGATGTTTTCAGCAATGTCATGTCATTATATATGTTTTTTACATTATATAGGTACAACATTTAGAGCCCAAACTGACTCTTTATTAACAATTAATGCATTTTTTCAAGCAAAAAAAGCCAAATATTTGCTTTTTCCAGTTTTTTAAAGTGGAAAATGTTCTTCTGTTCTGAGTTTTACATCAATGCAACGTCAATATCTATCGTTTTGGACTTTTGGTCGGACAAAACAAGACATCTGATATCCTCATCTTGAGCTCTGGGAAACTGTAATTGTCCTTTTTTAAACTACTTTTAATGTCAATAATAACAAATTAAAACACTCTAAATAACCTCCCAGTTGAGTCCCACATCTGTATTCTGTACATTATGTCATAAACAGTTAAATACCTGTATTATTATTATTATGTTTCTTTGATTTCTGATACTGAACAGCTGGTTTCAGCCCCAGTTTGTGTCCTCTCACGTCAGCATTCATATTATAGTTGAGTCACAGAGTTTAGAGTCTTATCTTAAAAGATATTAAGTGACTGTGTTTGAATCTGGATAAAAACGTCCGACCAAAAAGATTACATCCGCTGCACATTTTTTAACCAGTTTCCCCAAAACAAACTAAAAACAGAGTGTGTGCAACTTAGGAAACAAGTTAAAAATAACTTTTATCAAGCAGCAGATGATTTTTCTTTTCATCCACGTGGTTAGAGTAGTGTTTGATGATTATTGATGATTGCAATCTTTATGATAAACTTGAATGCAACACTAATACATTCAGAGGGAGTTTCAGCCCTACCTCAACATCAAGGTACAGTAGAATAGAGGTTCTCCGACCTGACGCTGAGCTAGTTTGGACTTGAATGGTGGAGCTCGATTCAAGTTAATATTAAACAGGAGCAGCTGACAAGTGTTGGGGAGCGTTTGCAATAGATAATCTATAAAAAGCCGCTGAGATACTGTGGGTCACTTTGCAAAAAAAAAAAAGAAAAAGAAAGGCTGTTGATGATTACTCCATCCACTGAGCATGATTTTTGTGGGTGTTTTTGCAGGTGACATTTACAGGGTTAAAACCTGGTGAACTTGTGTGTAGCAGGTCCTAACTACACAGGGAGATGTAACCCACAGAAATGTGGTGTAAAACCGCCGTAATCTGTAACTAACACGTGTGAAAAACATTCACTTTTCACTCATATTGAGCCCAGTTTGAACATTAAATTGAGTATCAGAGCACCTTCTCCGTACAGGGGATTCAGTTCAGGGGGGGTTTTCTGGACACAACTTCAGCAGGGTGGATGCATGTTGTCATGGAGGCTTGAACCCAGGTCAGCCAGTCACAGCACACTCTCTCCCCCCATGCTCACAATGCACCGTCCTGCCCACCCAGAAAGTCCCAATGAATCCACACTAATCCCATCTTTTGTGGTCCTCCCCACGTCTCAGTGTTGCTGTACCTCATGTCTCAGACATGCTGCTCCAACATCTATGCTCAACTGCTGCTCACAAATATACACATATTCTGCATAAAGCTCCACATAATGCATAAAATAGGGGACACGTGAGCAGTACCTGATGCTATCACAGGTTTCCTTTTCTTTATCATGTGTTGTTGTGATCCAAAGCACTGACAGCAGAGATAAAACAATACTTTAAAGCAGCACTAGACTTTGTAGTCCACTGAGAATAAAGCTATACAGAGCATAAAGTAAGCATCTTCACCAGTGTGGAAGAACAACAATAGACAGAAACATGCGCTGTAAACACCTCCAGCTCTGAACTGTGCAGCACTATCAGACAATAGAGGAGCCAGACGAGAATAACACTTAACCTGAGAACAATAGTTTCAGACAGGTTGTACCACGACAGCTTCTCATATCCACAATCACACTCAACCACACCAACTAATAAATCCTTTTTAAATTAAGTTTTCATGAGACAGATTGAGAGATTGTAGAGATTTCCCTCTCTCCAACATCACCAGGCCTATTGATCAGTGTGATTAAAGAGTTAAACACTGATCAATGCAACCGATATTAGACAATGTAAAGAGCTTCTTACCGCGCTGTTCTCTCGGTCTCCGTCGCTGCTTTATCGCTTTTTTATATTCCCTTTTCATTCTTTCACCCACATGATGATCAGTCGCGCGTCTCACAGACACAAAATCTCGACCTCACTTCCATGTGCTCGCGACCGGGACCACGCGCTCAGGGGAGCGCTCGGGCTCGGGATACGGCGCGTGACGTCACGGCGAGACATGGAAAGCCGGTCGAAAAAAAAAGTCGGTTCAATATAATAATAATAATAATAATAATAATAATAGAAGTATTTAACTATATATGACAGAATATACAGTGTAGAGATGTGGGACTCAGCTGGGAGGTTATTTAGAGTGTTTTTATTTGTTATTGTTGACACATTTTCTTTAATCATCCCATGAAGGTTCAAACTTTACCGTTATATTGTGTAATATCCTCATTTATAGTAGGGAAAAAACTGTTTTAATAGTCTGCATATGGCACAGTACCCGCACAAATAGATGTAAAACAATCAGTTTTGTTTTCGTGTAGCTTTAAATCTAATCTGTGACATTAAATTAAGTGATTATTTCATCAGAATCAGCGTCATTGCTCAAGTATTTTTGACCATATAAGGGATTTGAAGTAGCTTTCAGGGTTCAGTGAAGAAGATCATGTAGGAAATCAAATCTGTGTGCATGAACTGTTTATTTCTGCTGCATAATAAAAGGTAAAACAAGCCAAATTCTGGTAGATTAATTTACTCTTTTGTCCAGAAAACAGATATAAGGATGATTGTGCCACTTCAATGGAATCTGTTTACATTTGCATCAGTAATACTGGATATATCTTCAGGTCTCACTCTGGTAAAAAAAAGTTCAATAGTGCCAGTTTAAGTGCTTCTGTACATAAATCAGAGATCATGATCTGAGCTTACCTTGTGTTCTTTATGACCAACCACTAGGGCAGCATCAAGTGAGAATAATAGTCATTTCAACCCAGTAGTTCATATTTTACCTTCAGTAGTCAGAGTGAGAAGAGCATCACCACACCCAAACATGACCATCTTCATCCACGTCAGTCACTTTCTTTTTTACAAGTTATGCAATCATTCATGTGTCTCGTCTCCTCTGCTGCAGCACATATTAAAGCACGTTTACTCCTAAAAAGGAACTGTGATGAAGTGTGTGAGAAGTGTTGGTTTTTTTTTGTTGCAAGAACAGGGACACAAATTCAAGAAGTTGTTTTTATATTTCAAAAAGAATCTAGGAACATAATGAAAAAAGCAAACACTGGGTCTGAACATTCAGACAATTGTGATCGAAAAATACATTTTCTTAGGAAATATTAAGTATATACAAAACATAAAAATTTATATTTTAGTTTGGGCTCTCAACAGGGTAGCCCCATTTTTTTAATATTTTATTAATAAAAATAAACTTTTAAATATTTAATCCACCCATAACTTCAATTGAGGCAGTTTTAACATTGAAATCAAACAAGATTCCAAAACAACTGAATCCATTTTTTTGCATTTGCATGCAACAACAACAACTGTACACCCCAAGTCTTGAACTTGCATAAAAAACAAAAGGCCAAAAAAGTCTTATTATGATTCAAACTTTTAAGCACGAGATCCCTGAAGCTGCGAGAGTCTCTGCTTTAAAAGTTCACTTCTCCTCCTCAGCTGTTCTTTGACCGAGAGGAGTCTCTGTTCGTCTGACTGCATGCTGTAGATGCACTCTGTCGCCTTCTTCAGAATCACCACCTTGGCCGCCTTCTCGTTGTTGGCCACCTCGGGGATCTCGTCCCGCAGGGCGAAGAAGCTCAACTTGAGCTCGTTCCTCCTCTGGCGCTCCAGTACGTTATGAGTCCTTCTCTTGTCATAGTCCTCCGTGTCAGACGTCCGGGGGCTTGAACACTTGCGATTGCTGCTGATCTGTTTGAGGACCCTGCTGTGGCCGCCGCTGCCTCCTCCTCCTCCTCCTCCTCCACCTCCTCCTCCCCCACCGTTGCTGCTGCTCTCCAGCTTCAGCCTCTTGACAGCCGGCTGCTCGTGCCTCATGGATGGATGGGCGGCGTAATTGTGCTGGTGGGTGGAGACGTGGCACCTCTTCAGCACGAGCGGGCTGGGATGCCTGGTCTCTGACGGGCTGGGGTCGCACCGTTTCACCGCCTGCCTCTTCTCCACCGTGACCACATCTATCTCCTCCTCATCTTCTTCCTGGTCCTCCTCCTCTTCTTCCTCCTCCTCCTCCTCGTCATCATCTCCATCTTCATCTTCTGCAACACATAAAAGAAAAAAGGAAAAAAAAATAAATCACACTGATTCAGCAGCCGGGGTTGTAATGCATTCACGCTGCACGCCGCGGTAGGAAAGGGAGGGCGGGTACAGCCTCTGCTTCCACATCAGTGCATTGCTTAACATTACAGCCCTCCAGCTAATCTCACAGCAGTCTACAACATGAGAACATGTCTCTCTCTCTCCCTCCTGCCTGCAAAAGCTCATGAATTAAAACGAGAGTTGACCTGCTTTGATTCAGAAACTTGCAGACAAATCCTTGCACACTCAGCAAAAAAGGAGGGAAATTCCTAATTGCACAAAGAGGTAGGGAGGTGGGTGGGGGGGGTGACTGCATGATGAGGACATATTAGCTTACCTGAGTCACTACAGCTGCTGCTGCTGCTGCCGCTGTTGGGCGGTGTGTCCAAGCCCAAGTCCTTACTAGGCGGCGTCCCTGCGCTCTGCTTGGGCGTCTCTGCTATCGGGTACGGGAACACCACGGATGGATCAATGCACTCCGACGCGGATGTGTTTAAATCCTGCAAGTAGCTGCTGTTCAGCCTCCACGCTGCTGCACCGGCGGGCTCCGCGCAGTCGCCAGCCGAGGACGACGACTCCTTCCTTGCGGCGTGCAGGGAGGCGAGCCGCTCGGAGACCACCTTCTCCAGCTTGGCCGCGGCGGAGAAGCCGCTCCACATGCAGTCCTGGATGATGATGGACTTGAGGAAGGTCTGGGAGTAGTCCGCGTCGCAGATGATGCTCTGGTTGACCACGTCGTCGCCCAGGAACTCGGTCACCATCTCCAGCTGATCCGCCGTGGAGGGGAAGAGGCTTGACAGGGACGGCCGGCGGCTCGGGGAGAGGGGAGGGGTCGGCAGCAGTTCAAATTTCTTCCAGATGTCTTCGCTCGGTGCTGGAGGCTGAAGCTGCTGAGGGTAGAAATCCTCCTCCTCGTTGTCATAGTAGAAATACGGTTGAAGGGAGTCGTAGTCGTAGTCATAGTTCTTACTCGCCAAATTTGAATTCAGCGGCATGATGTCTCTGTGGTCTTTATCCTTATTGTGAAGCTGGGGTTGACAATACAAAACAAAATGGGTTTTGATTAGATGTTTAATCGATTGATTTAAAAAGAAGAAAAGAAAGTCCGCAGGTTCAAAAGCAGAGAGCAGCTGCTTGGCACTGCTCCTGCAACATTAAGTGTAAGCAACATCACATGGTCACCAAAACATCAACCCTCCTGTTTCCACGCCTAGCATGCACACACCAATGCTGCAGCAGCAGGTGCTCAACTGGGAAAACTAGTAGGAAATAGTGCAAGTAAGCAACCCCCACCTTTACTAAACGATAGCCAACACCTTCTCAAAACTATTATTTTTTACTAAAACTGGTGTGAGAAGCTGGCGTGCAAGCTCCAAAAATAAAAAAAAATACCCCGCTACCCTCCCTTACCTTAGATTTTTAAACAGCCGGCGGAAGAAGACGAAGGCGAAATCCACCCAAAAGGCGCAAATATATATGTATATATATATATTTTTAAAAAAAAGATAGCAGGAAAGTTAGTCCAACGCGAAAGACGCATTAAATCCTTCCACGGAGGTGTCGCAGTCGGTCTCAGTGAGGCTGTGTGAAGCATGCATTTGGTGGAAGGAGGGGGAGTCCAGAGAGAGAGAGGCTGCGACGTGCAGTCTGTCATCAGCAGCAGTGTGAGAATCACAGCTGAGCTGCGCTTGGCTGCAATAAAAACTCCGCAGCACCACCTCCGCTAGATCCTTCCGCGCAGTTTTTTCCCGCGAAACACTCGCCGGCCTTAAAACTCTCCCGCGGGGCAGGTTTATTTCCCGCTTTTGTCGCGTGGAATAATCTCCACGCGTCGTCGAGGGTGATTTAAACTCCAAATGTGTTTTTTTTGTGGTGTATTTCGGTTGTTTTGTTGTATTTTTGTACGCGGGTCTACTTCGTTTTAGAAGTGGGAGTGGTCATAGTAAAGGAGAGCTCCCATTGACGGGAGACATGCAAAAAATACTAATGTTAGTAGTAGTAGGAGATAATTAGGATGGGTTTTTTTTTTTTACTACCACCCCGCCTAAAATATCACCACACATCTCAAACTGCTTCATGCAATCTTGTGAGTGTTTGTGCATGTCTCGTTGTAATAACCAGTGAGACTTACCGCCTAAAAGTAGATTAATTCACCTGCTTTTGTACAAATCACACACATTTTGAACACACTTGCAAGTGTCTGTCTGCAGAAATAATAACACAGACAGGTTGCACAGGTTTGCACGATTTGTGCAGCAGTTTCTGGACAATGCAGTGCAAAAAGCTCACAGGTGCAGGAGCTTACCTCGACCTCTCTGCAGGCTCTGACAGCTCTGAATTGGGTGAAACAGGTGAATTCAACGAGCAAGACACACTAGTTAATTGCAGTTTGTGGGTAATGTAGGCTGTAATGCGCCACAGTAAGAAATAAGAGTGTGTGTGTGTGTGTGTGTGTGTGTGCTCCTGACCATGTAATGTAGCTCGGTTTTTGAGGTTGGACAGATTGGCACCAATTAAGTACAGGAAGGAAGTAATTAAAGGAATCAGATGGGTATACCGCAGTTGGATGGAGGTGAACCTCCTCCGCTGTGATGTGGGGGGTAGGGGGGGCAGATTAAGCGGGCTCGGAGCGCCCTCTGCCGGTCAAAACCTGGATGGCCTGGACGGCAGCCAGGTAGGTGCAGGGTCACACAGATAGAGGTGAACTTCAAAACTCCACAAACCATCCATTAAGTGAGAGATTATTGACTGAAATTAGATTAAAGAAGTTGAGAGATGGTTGGGGTTGAGCAAAGGGTGTAACGCTACACATTTCTGAGGGTTAAAAATAGGGCCGTGCGGTGGGTTGGTGGAGCTGTTTATTGGGGTTACTGGGTCACTTCATTATGAAATAGACAAATGTAACTGAGAATTCAGCCTTTCGACAGAGTAGGTTGTGCTATTTATAATCAGCTATGATATTTATCAGCAACAAGATCCACTACAATTTTAAAAAAAGCTAATTTAAAGTCCCTGTATAACTAAAACAATTCTTTTTAAAGTCTGTCTTTATGTGTCTGCTGTCCTAAAACAAGAAAATACGGAATGAGAACTGTGTATTTTGTGCATATGAATACTGTTTTAAAATAAACAACAACCTATAAGCCGATCCTTTATAAATAAAAGTACTGGTCTCAGTCAAAGATGACTTTTTACAGTTTAATGTGATAAAATCTTGTTTTCAAATGCATTTATTTGGCACATTATCGCCCCGAACTGTGTACTCTAAAGTCATGATTCTAAATGTAATTGATATATTTAATGTGGATTGAATTCACTGGTGTCACTAATCATATTTTAATCAACCAAAGATAATAGGCTATCTTACATTAAAGTGCTCTTTGTAGTAAAGATGAACAAACAACATTATTTATTGAGTTCAAAGTTTTGCTGTTGATGTTGGAGACTTTTTTGTTATCAAACATAATATTGTTATAAAATATCTAATAATCATTTTGAATTGTGCTTTTATTCTACATGGGTTTTTTCTTCATCTTTTATATTTTTAATTGCCACAAGTTGAAGGAAAAAAAGTACGTAAGCATTAAAAAGACTCACAACATTTACACAATTTTAGACTAATGTACACTATTCGACTATGATTTTATTATGAATAAGGAGTGTCCATAAGCTCACTGAGGGATCTGCGGTAATGCTCACAGGCCCACATATGTGTCCACTCCTTCGAGCTTCAGAGGAACTAAATAAATCAATAGTTGAGCAAGCGAGCAGAGGAGAGCAGAGAGAAGGAGCCCGGAGGGTAGAAAAGGAGAGAAGAGAGATATGAAGTTTCTCTTGTTATCATTTGAAGTCCAGAGGAAGTGCAGAAAGAAAAACCCAAACTGAAATGACACCCTCTTTCCTCCTCTCCTGTAATCACTCCTTCATCCCTTCTCTCCTTTCCTCATTCTGGGATGCTGTGCGGAGGATAGCGATCATATCCACCAGACTCATGTGTTGTGGTCATTGTATTTATCGGCTCCGGATGTTTCTTGTGTTGCTGTGTTTTCAGAGCGCCTGGAGACACAGAGGGAAGCTTTGAGACTGCCTGCAATCATTTCCTCTGATAAGTGGAGACTGAAGGTACTTGGGAGAGGTTTGATTGTGTGTGTGTGTGTGTGTGTGTGTGTGTGTGTGTGTGTGTGTGTGTGTGTGTGTTTTGCCTTTCAGTAAAACTAGTTTTACCACTTTTGATTGACACAGCGTATAAAGTGCAGAGGTTATATTTACTAATTATTTTACATCAAGGGCAGAGATTTCTTTGCAATTTACATAATGTGTTATACATAATAAATAATGTGTTTAATAAAGTCTATAAAGATTATTAAGGTGGTACAGTGTTAGAAATTAACACTTCTCCGTGGTTCTGCTACTGTAAACTGTTAACCCCCCCCCCCCAGATAAACCACCTAGCAGTAAAAATGATCACAATGCACCAAATTTAACACAATTCAATGTTTATTTACTTAAAGCATATTTCATACTCATATAGGAAATTCAAAATGTGCTTATAAAAGATGCTATATAAGGAATAAATATGATTTAAACCAGAAAACAAAGAAATGAAAACAGAGAAATTAGAAATAAAGTGGAAGATAAGAAGTGTAAAACTAAAGAGATTTGTGATATCTTGTAGTCTTAATTATGTAAAATAATGCCAGGCTGAGAGAGTTGTATGATTATCTACTGTATGCCAACAATCCCAGTGAAACACATCACAATCATGATGAAAGGAAGATCATTTATGTTCTTGATCGATTTATCTGTTATATTTCCAATGAATTGATTCATTGTTTAGTCTACAACATTTTACTGAAGAATGAAAAATGTACATCATAATTTACATTCAATTTGTTTGTTTTCAGTTATATAAACCAATGAAAAGCAGCAAATTCTCTCACTTGAGAGTTTGTTATTTCTGCTCAATAAATGACTCTGATGATGACCTGATTGATCTATAACTAAAATTATTGGTCATTCATTGAATGATTAATAAACTAATTGTGAGGCTGCATCTGAAATGACTCCCTGTTTTCTTCCTTGTGTGTTAAATTTACTTTACATCATTATGTATTATGTACGATGGGACAGATGTGGACATGATAACCAACTACAAGTACCTGGGTGTCACACTGGACAGTAAACTGGACTGGCCGTTTATAAGAAGGGCCTGAGCCGACTTTACTTCCTGAGGAGGCTCAGGTCCTTCAATGTCTGCAACAGGATGCTACAGATGTTCTATCAGTCCACCATCTTCTTTGCTGAGGTGTCCTGGGGTGCGGGCATCAAGGCAAAGGACGCCAACAGACTGAACAAACTCATCAAGAAGGCCGAGTCTGTTGTTGGCTTGAAGCTTGTCACCCTGGAGGGGGTGGTGGAGGAGAGGATGCTGGCAAAACTGCTGGCAACCATGGACAATCCCTCCCACTGCCTCCACACGACACTGGACAAGCTAAAGAGCAGCTTCAGCAACAGACTCATTCAACCCCGCTGCAAGAAGGAACGATACAGGAGATTGTTCCTTCCAAGTGCAATAAGACTTTTTAATAATAATTGACTCTTAACTCAGCTGCTACAACGTTATAATTCCCCTTCGGGGATAAATAAAGTATTTTCTATTCTATTCTATATATGAGTGTCAGAATTCTTATTATAACATTTAAGCATTTATTTTGATAAACAAACGTCATGAATATGAATGTTTTTGATACTTGTACTTCTTAAGTTAAATAACCATTTTCATGTCAAGGAGCCACACAATAGATGCACATGAGAGGATTTCATCTGAAAGTTTTAAGTTTCAAGATTACAAAGTCTTCAAATTAGGATCACTATAAATAACAATCAATCAACATGGCCAACCCTATTTCTTCCCCTGTTCAAACTTGTCTCTGTTTGCTTGGAGCCTAAAACCCACTCAAGGACCCATGTTGGTCCCTCAACCCCAGATTGAAAACCACTGAACTATTTAAAAACCCTCTTGGATACCCAACAGTAGTTAAAGTAGTTAAAATGAGCTCAACATTAAACATCTACAGCATTGAAATGTAACATACACATAAATGCAGCATAAATATGAATCCAAAAACATGATGTATAATAGTAAAACTTTTACTTTTATACTTTAGGAAGCTGATGACACTTTTCCTAAGCAAGGTTTTGAATGTAGGACTTTAACTGGAGTATCACACCGCCTTGTTTCATTGATTTCAAGGGGAATCCGACCAACCGGTGGCAGGCACTGACATGAACTATATAGAAATAGTCAACCTTCTCTCTGGTGGTCTTGTGTGCTCATGTAGGTCATACAGAGGCACCAGTATTAAATTTAGACTGTTTCATGAAGTTAAAAACTCCTTGTAGGTTTAAGTAAAGAGTACTTCTTCCACCTCTCAGGGTCAGTCTCTGCTCACTATAGAGTAAACTGTTGTACGGAGAAATGACACCAATTTCACATTCAAACAAACAGGAAGGAACTCACACTCAAAGAGAAAGCAAAACTTAACCACAGTATTCTTAGAGAAAGGAGTATATCACTATAAATACAACTTTTTTATATACCTTTTTCTATATAAGAAATACTAGAAGATTTTTTTTTTATTTCCAGTACCCGATCTAGGGTAGATCAGCACACACCTTTTCCA